GTGTGTGTGTGTGTGTGTGTGTGTGTGTGTGTGTGTGTGTGTGTGTGTGTGTGTGTGTGTGGTAACCCTGTATCACTGGCAAGCTCATTTCTCTCAGAAATCAAAGTTAAATGGGTCATCTATCATGAGAATATGTGACTGGGTCTCTTGTCTCTGCTCTGTGTGTGTGTGTGTGTGTGTGTGTGTGTGTGTGTGTGTGTGTGTGTGTGTGCGTGTGTTTCATGCACACATATGCAAGGTGTGTGGTGCGAGAGCAGTCTGCGTGCACCGCTGCAGCTGCTCACACGTGTGTATGCGGCGGCCACTTGTCTTTGCCTATGCTATGATTAATGGTTTACATTGGGCTGTTCAGCCATGCATGTTTCTTGGTTTATCGTTTTATGCTGTCTCCAATTAAAGCTCCATAACTTGAGTGATGGCTTCACGCCAGTGTCCATCAATAGAGGCCATCAGCAGCTCATGCATTCAGGATATGGAAGCCACACACTAACTAATATCCTTTTGTGTCAGAGCCAGTGGGCATCCTTTTTGTGTGACTGTACAAATATATACACGTGCGCATGCTGTGCACATGAAATAAAAACAGTAATTAAATTTGAAGTGATCTATTTTTCCTGATAAATTTGGTTTTACTGTTTAAAATCTTGAAAAATGAATTACCAGTGGGATGAAATAATATTATAATTGTATTTTTTTATGTAATCAATGAAAACCATCAGGTGATCAATTAATGAATCATCCTGAAATTGTTTTTTCGATAAGGACAGTCTTTTGCGCCATGTCTGCATTCATGCACGATTTTGCATCTTTGTGTCTTTTTGTGCCAAAGAAGTGCTGGGGGCTACATACATCTGGACGTGGGAGCTAGTTCATGTGTGCGCCGCACAGACACGCGTGCGCCGCACAATATCATTTCACGCAATATTATTTCTCATATAGCTGTAATGACATTAGGCCGATATGTTGATTATACTGTCGGCAAACAGCAGCCTGCTGATTGGGTTAGCATATAACCTTATATCACATCTCTCCATTCATCCCTGTGCTTTTTTTTTTTATTGCCCTCATTTTTCCAAATCACTTCCCACTTCTCCAGTTTCCAGGGCGAGGTTCCAGGCTATGCAAGCAGGTGATGAGAAGTAATATGATGACAGGAAGACACAACAACTTAAGAGAAGAAAACCCAGAACCTTAGAGCAGCCCAAGTTCTCTGAGTGCAGGACAAAGAAGCCTAGTGGTAGGATAGAAAAGCGTTGTCGACAAACATAAGAATAAATGAATATTTATTCGCGCTGACAAAACCCAGTGAGCACGCACAAATTGTGCATGTTACGGTTTCTGCTCAGCTTTTGTTGTTTTGATTTTTAACAGTTGTATGGATTGATGAAGAAGAAGAAGAAGAACAAAAAGGGAGATTTTTTTGGTGTGGGCTACTGAGATTGTTAAAGAGAATGAGATTTTATTTGCAGTTACACATGGACACTTTAGTATCTGCACACACAAAACAAGGTTTTTCATGCATTAAGGAAGTTTTAATCCCCCCCATAGAGGTTTTAGCCAAAGCTAAGATGCTAAGATCACTGCTCATTGGGATTTTATATACTCAGGGATAATAGGAATATTCATTACTGTACATAGACGAATCTTGTTTACATTTGTGGTATAAACTTCAAGCTGTGTTTGGAGTTCACTGTGTAGCAGCTACAGCTTTAATATGTGTCCATAAGCAGCAGAACGCAATGGCAAAAATCAGCAGAAAACACACTGTAGCTGTATACAATCACCTCTATTTCCCTTCTCCCTAGCTAACATGTACACACAAACATACATATGGTGTACTCTCAAACACAGACTTCATTATTATCTACAAGAAACAAACATTACACAAAATACCTCTGGCGATATTTGTGCTTTGACGAAAAGAACACTTTTGGTGCTGTTTGGTTCTTAAACACAGCTGTGTTAGCACGTCGAACTGTCAAGCTTTTACTGCAAATTACTAATGGTGGGAATCAATATCTGTACCACATGCACAGGTAATGATTTAGCCATGTATAGCATACAGCTGGACAGACAAGCAGCAAATGGAAAAAAGATAACAATAGCAATAAATTCACATCAGCCATACCTAACGCATAAGATGCTATGCTATGTCAAGGCTAAATGACACAAGGAGAAAAATGAAACTAGGTTGTGTGGAAATAAAAAAAAAAAAAGGGGGGGGGGTCTGATTTAGTATTCAGTAATGGCTGAAGGGGATTGGGGGGAGGGAGAGAAAGCAGACTTATGTATAGGGAAAAGGGGTGGATATGATGAAGCTGGAGAAAATTAATCAGTGGTATCATCTCCCGGCAAGTTTAGTTAATACTATTTCTGCCAGTTACAAAATATTCCAGCAATTAGTGATTTCCCATCGTGTGGTAGTGTAAAGGAATCAAACTTTCTGCTCTTTCTTTTCATGTATGGATTAAATATTGAATGATTAGCAATGCATTAGTCACTGGTAAGTTCAGAACCGTACTCTGGCTTGAATCTTAGTGCTTTAGTCTTCCTGTGAGGGAACTTCTGTTGTATCTGTGTAACAACCCATTAAATCAGCGTGCATATACACTGCACACACACAAGAAAAGCACATTCGCTTGTTGACCTCACATTAGATAAGCCCAGTGTCATCAGTCCAGCACTCCAATGTTTGTTTGCATTTGTGCATGAGCTTAGCCTTGAGGCAGTCTCAATGCTTGCATGTACATTATAATGTAATCTAAGTGTATAAACATATTAATGTGTGTGCAGAGCAAGAAAATCACTGTGACGAAATCATAGTGTGACATTTTGCAGGAATCTAAAACTTTATTTTGATTCTTTTTAAAAAATCTACAACACTTTTGCTCATAACTGCTTCTCTCTATCAATTTTAACAACGATAGAAGCAACGTTAAAAGTAAACCGACTAACACTTTGACTCCAGTTTATGACAATGACTAAATAATACTGTTCTTTCTGCTCCAGACCAAGGCCAAAATGGTGCATTTGAAAGACAAGCTCCGCAATCGTTTCAAGAGAATGGCGGAGGAGAAAGAGACGAGGATTAAGCAACTAACTGACGAGCTGAATGGAACGAGGCAAAAGGTAAAATGCACGCAAAGGGTACACAAGCACATACTTCAAATGCTTCTTTTATGTTTGTATACAATTTAAAGACATTTTACAGATTCTTCAATGAATGAGTCCTATTTATCTATAATGAATTGCTGCTTCGCTGTAAGAGCATTTGTGAGCGAAGGCTGCCAAGAAATGGGAAAGAGTAACTTCAAGAGAAGACATGCTTAGTGTTTTTAACACGCGGGTCATAGTCTTTTTTGGTCAAACACATAAGTACACAAATAAACATACAGTACTGAAAAGCTTTTGAGTAAATGAATTGCATTGCACTGTGAACCCTTGGCTAACATTATTGGTTGACCCCTGGGATTCTGTTAGCTAATTTAACTACGCCATCCTAGCGCTTCAATCACTTTTCCACCCACTTATTTTATACCCTTTCAATTATACAGATTACCATTGCTAGTAGAGCTTATTGAGCTGTACTTCTGATTCAAAGGAACACCGGCCCATTGAGGCACAAGCACTGACTGACGTACACACACACACACACAAGTACACACCACTTGATCTGCATATCATTATGCTTTTGATCGAATGCCAAGGTTTTCGCTGAGAAAGACGTCAGAGTCAAATGAAGCGAGCATGTACACAACACCTGTAGGATTTGTGTGTGTGTGTGTGTGCGCTCGTGTGCGTTCATGCTCATGAGAGAGGCAGCTGTGAAATCTGCACCTGTTTAATTGAATTAGCCTCGTTAATGTATTCACACAGCCTGCCAAAAAAAAGCGTGGCATTAACAAGCTCATTAGACCAATTAGTTAATTAATTGTCTGTATGGCAGAAGCTTCCCAAAGAGCTGCGTCTTCATTATCTGATAGCTGCTGCCTGTTGGATCACTGCTTGAGAGCTGATAATGCACTCTGTGTGTGCGCCCGCTTGTACGTCTCATCAAATGTCGTATATTCCTGCATATATGTGTGTATATATACTGTATGTACTGTGTGTGTGTGTGTGTGTGTGGTTATTTCAGGTAAAAAATGTGCGTGTGCGCGTGAATGTTCATGTATTCGTCTGTCTGTGTGTAGCATGCTCATAATATGGTGGCCAATATCAGTGTGCATATTGCAGTGAAAGGTTATGTGGGGGCCGTCACTCCCACAGGTAAAGACAGAGCAGTCCTCCCAGCCACTTTCTAATCTCTCTTTTATTAGAAGTTAATATCTCGCCTGCTCTTTCTCACTCCACACTCCCACCTGCTTAGAAATGGCCCCGCTCCATCTTTTTAATTCAATTATATTAGCCACCCTCTCTCTCTCTCTCTCTGTCTTTCTCTGTGCCCATAACTCTGCAACTCACATCTCTCCCTAACACACTATCTATCTCCTTCTTCCTTCTCTGTCTCTTCCCATCTTACCCCTCCTTCCTTTGTCCTCAAATGTTCCATTTCTATTTGTAATCCTAGATGGAGGATAGACTTTGGCCAATCAAGGATTTGCGCAAGCCATTCTCCCTTTCTCCTCTTCTCTGCCTTGGTGGCAGAAATGTATGATGGCGAGCAGAGGGGGAGAAAAAAAAGACGGGAGACGGGAGGAGGTGGGAGGCAGGAGTTGAGGGGAGGACCCCAGGGGCGAAACTTTGATTGCTAAAGTAATGAGACTTGATCAGATTGAGGTTTCTCTCTCAATAGGAGCTCTACTAATATGAAAGTCCAGGGCTTAAGCACTCATTTGAAATAAAATCACAAATCTGATATTCTTTCTTCCGGACTCTCAGCCAAGGTCCTATACTCCTCTGCTGGAGAATTAAGACTTCACAGAGACCACATGGGAACTTTTAATCATCTCTGATGGTGGCAGATTTGGAGATGGGGAAAAAATGACCCTAATGTATTAATTATGTAACAATATTATGGAGAAAGTCAGACCTGTAAAGACCTTGAGCTATAGGAGGGATTTTGGCAGACACTGAGATCTTTAACTAGCTGGATCAACAGGCCTGACCCGCAGTGAGTGGGAATAAGAAAATGTCAACATCCTGTTATACAGACTCATAACAAATTAGATGTGACAACATAGGCTTTTTGAATTACCTTGTTTGTAGCCCTGTGAGTAACTCAAATTTGGATGTTTTTCCAAGGTAAATGTGACTTCGTTTCCAAGAAAGGCTTGATTGCTGCTGCAAAAATAATACTCAGTCTCTACTTGTTCACAAGAGCAAAAAACACCATGATGTTGGCACTAGATAACAGGAATAAAGACTATCAGTCACTTTACATCGCTCTTCCTTTTGGCTCCTGGGCACTTTACCATGAATCCAAGCTTCTTTTGCACCCTATCACCGGTATATAAGCCTTTAAAACGTTATATTTCTCGAGTTTTAATATTGGATATTAGCGAAGACTTTGTCTAGTAACTAAGCTGACACAGAACACTGCCTTTAATTGTGTCTTGCATGTGAAATATGGCTATTGTCGTACAGTCCGGATTGCAGTCATAAGTAAGTATAGTAAAACATTTACAGAAGCTGACTTTTAATTAGATCTTATTGCTTTTACTTGGTTTAACATTGATGGCAATAATATTTAAAATGTGTAAAAATGTGCTCTTTTGCCAAATGTCCATTTTTCATTTGAAATCCCTCTTGCGCCGTAGATGGTTTAACATAAAGAACTTTTGCTCTCTGGTGTAATATGTTGAACTTGGTTGAAGCGATGAAATGAACACGTTATTGTCCTAGTTTTTGTAAAACTTATTTCCCAATAGTCACACAAAAAACTGGGGCGAATAATCCAGATAAAAGAGAGATTTTAATTCATTATTGCAATAATACTGGGTGGCCCATTGCTTATAATTGTTACCATCCATTAGCAAAGCTGTAGATAATTTAACTGCATTGATGACCACCTTTAACTCACTGTTGCGCTGTGTTGGGTGGGACATATTAATGCTAGGAAGTGTTTCTGGGAGGCTCACTTAAGGAGGCAGAGGTAGGTTGTGACTGCGCCAAGACACATGCCCCTAACCACAGTCTGCTCCTGGTGGCCGTGTTCACTTTGAGTGTGTCTTTAGCTCCATATTTTTTTTGTGGTTATATCTGCATCTTGTTATGACCTGATCTTATATCATCCAGTTTGATAGAAATAAAAATATGCAGGCGTTTCGACTAGTGCGTGCACGTGCATACAAAGGTATGGTATGGTATCTCAAAGTGTGTTTGCTGTGACTCTCTGCGGAGCTTCCTTGCTAATCTAACACAGGACCATTTAACAGAGTCCCAATGAATAGAGGCTTTGATTTAAGTGGGATCTGAACCACGGGCCCACACACACTCACATTCATGTTTGGGGTGAGGAGTTCACCCACTGTCTGCGTCCTCTGAAATTATTGGTCTTTTTGTATCAGTAATTGCTCAAGCGCAAATTCATGTGCAGTAACGCACACCGCACACACCAACAGTTACTTAGAGCGGCACTGTGGTGCAGTGATTAGCAGTTTTGCTTCTCCTGGTCGCCAGGAACATGCAAACTCTATGTGGCGTTTGCATGTTCTCCTGGTGCTTGCCAAGGTTTCTCAGATTCAGATTTTTCCCACAGTCAAAAAGACATGCCTGCTAGGTAAGTTAGCTAAATCCTAAATTGGCTGTCCATATGAATGAAATCATAAATTGCTGGTAAAGAGACAGTTCACCCCAAGTTCAAGTTGATGAAATTCCTTCGTGCTACAATAGGCTATGGATTGTAGTGTGAAGGTAAATGGTAAATGGCCTGTATTTGTATAGCGCTTTACTAGTCCCTAAGGACCCCAAAGCGCTTTACACAACCAGTCATCCACCCATTCACACACACATTCACACACTGGTGCTGGCAAGCTACATTGTAGCCACAGCCACCCTGGGGCGCACTGACAGAGGCGAGGCTGCCGGACACTGGCGCCACCGGGTCCTCTGACCAGATCCAAGGTGGATCCAAGGTGGCAGATCCAAATGCAAAAGACTCAAGGCAGAATAATAAAAGCTGATAAAAGCCCAAACCTGCTACTAGACATCCAAACGAAAACATAACCCAGAGAACTACAACAACACAAGAAAACACAAGGAAGCAGAAGAGCACATGCTGAAGGCACATCAGGGAATAGCCAAAGAAGACCAATACTAATCTGAATATTACTACTTAACAAGATGAACAGAAAAAGGCAACACAAGGGGACCAAGGCATAAACACAGAGCGAGACAGAGGGACAGCTGAAAAATATGAAATACAGAAAGAACTAAAACCATAAAGTAACGGAAAAACCTGCCATTAATCTATAACTTAAGAATTCACAACCCCAAAACTAAACACAAAGAAACACACAACGTTCTACATTAGAATCAGATTAAAGAAAAGTGAGAGAAAACACTGTGGGAACTAAGCACAAATGCTAACTAATGAGCTAAAACATAAATATACATAGAACAAAAATGAGGAAATCATAACTCAAAATGTAGGCGCTTAAGTAGAGTAAAGAAGCCCAACTAAATAATAAACCAGAAGACGCAACTCAAAAACCTGGCACAAAAAGCCAGGGATCATGACATCTCTGGCCCGTACTGCTATTTATATGGTGTAAGTTACCAATCACTGGGAATATTGGCTGTAGAAATGCCTGCCCTCTCTTGAATGTAATGAATGCAAACAGCACTTAAAAGTCGTGCTTAAAGAGCCAAAAAATACATTACAGAAATACAACTCAGCACAATCTTTCCAGAAATCCTGACCCGGTTGCTCAAACAAATATAAAATAAAAATAAAAATCCACAAAGTGTCAGCACTACTTGAAACGAACATCTTGTTTATCTTCTGTAACTGAAACCACCACATCTTGTTGGTAGTTTCGCAAACGCTACGGGAAATCTTCGATTGAGGCGAAAGGGTGCCTCTGAGCACTTTTTTATTTGCAGGTAGAAAACCTCCAAGCTGAGGAGGCTCATGCGAAGCCCCTCGCCCAGGATGTGGTTAGTTTGCGAGTCACATAGAAGTCTCTGAA